TGGGCAGAGAATATAAAAACATGTAAATACCTTCGACGTCTTGTGTACTTTTAAGTATCTTTATTTGGGTATCATCAAAGTTCATGCACTCTATTGGCGAAAGGTTGTCCAAGTATTTTCCACCCAAGGCTTGTTGCTGTCTTTGACAGACTAGCTTTATTTCGTTCCACCATTTTTTAAAGTCATTCTCCGACATTTCTGATGAACTATTGTGCTTTATCATGTTTCGAATTATTCGTATTCTCTCAATATCGTCACCAGTAGTTATTTCCATGGAATCAGGTAATTCTTCTTTACCCCATCCATTTGTTGGGGGCGTAATTTTAGGACAGAGATTTCTTAGTAATGAATACATTAATGAGACATCCAGGTTCTTATAACCTAAGCTCTGTGTCATTCTTAGTTTTTCTAATTGTTGATTTTGGAGTCTGTGGGTTCTAAAACTATTGGAATTCCGCACAGTTTTTAAAATATCTTTGAATGGGACATGGGTTTCTAATATATCTCGATATATTTGTGTCAATTCATCATTCACAGCTTTATCAACTTTCAGAAATCTACAGGAACTTTCAGGATCTGAGCTGTTGGCCATGCTGAAAAAACGGACAAAAAGCAGTGTTAACAAATGCATTACAACTAATACCATAGTAAGTATTAAAACTCCCAAAGTATAATTTCTTACCTTATGAAAAGTTTTCCCAAATACTCAACAAGATTTCAAAATGTTAACAACATCGTTGTTCATATACATTTTAGCATTTACCAACGTTTGTCAATCGTGGATAGAGAAAAAATTGGTTGATTGATCTTATTGACTGAACAAGTCTATTCTTGCAGTTTTATAAATAGCCAGGTATCCAATCATTAACATATAAGCCATTTAAAAAAACGAAGAACAGGTTTAGACTATTCAAATTATCTATCTTTTTTATCTAAGCCAAGCTAATTTAGAGTGTCATGAATAGAACCAATCAAAGTACTGAAAGTACTGATTCGAGATGGCGGTCTAATTGCAGGAAGGGTGCAAGTATGATCTAAATGATAACAAATTTTCAATTCCGAAGCGTTGATTTTTTGCATTTGAAAAAAAATTCTTTGCTAATACTGTAAATCAACTTTTATTCGCGACGACTTTATTTCGCGATTTACCAGAGATAAACTAGTTCACGTAGATTAATTTTCGCGATCAAGCCCTTTTGCATCTATTTTTAGCAGACAAATATACTATAATGACCGGTTCGCGGCGAAAAATATTCGCGATGACGAGGCTCTCGCGAAAATTATCGCACGCGAATAAAAGTTGGTTTACAGTAAGTTCTTCGGGGCCAAATGACATGCGCACGGGTTGTAAAAATGTAAATGTATTATCTTCTAATTTAGTGCAATATAGGCTGCTTGAAAGCTTTTAGTTACTGATTATGCTAACTTTTCTGGACACTACTCAATTTAGCGCAAGTCAGACATGTTGTATTTTAAAGACGAACATTTAAAAGCTGTTCGTGACATTGAATGTTAAATAAGAGGGGGTGACGTACAAATGTTTTTTTTTTACGATAAATGAACAGGTCCATTGATTTTAATTGAATTGACGCGGAGTCAAAACAATGCAGATTTTAATGTTCCAAGAGTATTAAAAATGAGTTTCACAGACAGGCACATTTCGTCTAATAAACACAGACTTGGGTTTCCTGTAAGAAATTGTGGCAATGAGGTTGTGTCTTCTACTGCAATCCTGAAATCTGTTCAAAACGCACGAGAGGATCAAAGCATATTTCTATGGCAATACAGGGATATTTACTGCATCCTTTTTTTGGCGCCTGGATCGATAGATCCAGGGCGTATATTGTTTAACTATTAAAAAGGGACAGCGAAAAAAAAATGACCAGAGAAATCTCTGCGCAAACAAAAATATATTTTTTAAATATTTTGCGAAGGAGGTGTTTGTGTGTGTGTGTGTAGGGGGGGGGGTGGTGCGTGGTTGGGGGGGGGGTTACACTTCAGTACCAAATTTTATCCATGCACTACTTCAATACCATTATTTGACGGTACCGCAACAAAATTGGGAATGGATCTTTCAATGAAGATTTTTTGTAGTTCACTATAGACATTTTATATTGGTTTTGATGTTGCCACAAGGAAACGTTACAAAGTTATAAGTTTGAATTGATTAAAACGTCTGTAGAAAACAATGAAAAAACTTAAATATAAAAACAAGATGTGTGGCCTTTTAAATTCATTTCATTATTTTAGATGAAGATTCAGCAAAGCCCCAATCACGTTTGCAATGTGACGGAAAATATGTACAGCTGTGAACAGAGGAATTTCCCATTGTGATTTGTGATATTCTTTGGGTCGATACTTCATAGATCATATTTTGGAACGAATGTGAAATTAATGCTGCGACTGCGATTTGGAATTAAGTACATTGGAATTAAAGCTAGATCGCGCAAGAATATAAAGTGTTACCGGTATACGTTTTACATGTAATACTGTGTCGGTACTTTTTCTCTTCTCCACTGATGTTTCAATTCCATATGTAACAGGCGCGGATCCAGAAATTTTTTCCAGGGGGGGTCCACCTCAGTCAAAAAAAAATTCCAATCCCAGATATTTCTGGACAAGCAAAAAAAAAAAAAAAAAAAAACGTCAAAAACCTATTTCGTAGGGGGGGGGGGGGTGTAGTGGTGACATAGCTATTGCTTCAAATCTTTCACTTATCTTACCCACTTCACACATGTTCACGCTTACCCAGGGGGGGGGGGTTCTGAGTTTTCCAGGGGGGGGGTCGATGGTAACTGTTTTCTTGTTATAGTATATACATTTTTTAACCTGGGGGGGGGGGTGTAGTGGTGACTTCTATTGCTTCAAATCTTTCACTTATCTTACCCACTTCACACATGTTCACGCTTACCAGGGGGGGTCTGAGTTTTCCAGGGGGGTCGATGGTAACTGTTTTCTTGGTATAGCATATACATTTTTTAACCAGGTAAATTCCAGGGGGGGGTCCTGACCCCCCGACCCCCCCTCTAGATCCGCGGATGTGTAAAACGTTTGGTCTCCGTCACAGACTGGTGCACACTTACCTAAAAGTAGGGTTCTCCACAAGGTGTTAACCATGGCGGCCTGCCATTGTTAAATTTATGTGCGACATGGTTAATCAAGCTGCGCCGTGGTTAAAATCGGCAGCAGCCATGATTAAATTTTATTATACCTCATATACTCGCCTGTAAGTCGGTATTTTGGAGTAAAATATTGGTCTAAAACTCTATATCCGACTTATAGGCGAGTCATAAAGAGGTTGTTTTTTTTCTGGAGGTAAAAAAGTAGTATCTTATTTGCATTTCCGACGATTATTAAAGAAAATGTCTGGATATATAATATAATTTATGTATTCAGAGATTATATATATATATATATATATATATATATATATATATATATATATATATATATATATATATATATTGTATATTGTACAAGTTTTTACATATTTTAATAACTTTATTTGCATTTTAAGTAGGCATTGCCTTTTTATTTAATAATTTAAAATTTAATATATCAGTGTCTTTTTGAAAAATGTTAATTGAATTTATTTCATTAAACGCCTTATTTTCATAGATTAATTTAATGGTGTTGTACAGTAATATTGTATACAAATATGCACGGAGAACAATGATTAAATTCAGTCCCTAAAGAAGTGTTTGTATGTTGTTTTTGAAAACGTCAATAGATTTTGATTGTTTAATATTTAAAGCTAGATCGTTCCATAATGTTAGGTACATGTACAATATTACTAAAATTCCGGTCGCTGAATTTTTTTCTTACATTCGATGGAACTGTATAACAGCTTTCGGAATTTCAGGAAAAATGCAATCGTTTACCGAAATGATATGCAAGGTGGCTGATAGAGATTTAAGTGAACATTGGTTTTGTGTCTGTATATTTTCACATTCAGTTTTTTTTTCTGTTAATAATCCATTGGAATTCTTTTATAATTGCATTAATCCTCTTAAACAAACCAAACCTTGTCCTGCACGGTAGAATACATACATGTAGTATGATTTTACATGGATTTGAAAAATATTGCCATGATTGCTGACTTACTGTATCACCATTTTTTTTTTAAAGTTCACTACAGTTTTGGACAAATTTTGGTACATCTGTTAAGTAAGATACAGGATAATTCCTTAATTTTCAATTTTATGCACGTTATTATAATCAAACTGCAGTGAGTGTCATACATTGTACGTCGAACGCTTTAAAAGGGGACCATTAAAAAATCAGAATAAAGAATCAAAATTCTTTTACAAATACAGACAAAGTACAATCAGGCCTATCCAACATGACAACTTGAATGATCAGAAAAAATTTGCGTTGCAATAGACAAAAACAATGGCAACAAACATCACCCCGCCTGGAGTGAATGAAAAATGAAGAGTCTAATGAAGGATGTGGAGATAACGAACATTATTCAATATCAACGTCCATTAAACAATATACAAAATAAGAGCAGAGCAAACACGGACCTCCAAAACATCAGAGGTGGGATCAGGTGTCATGAAGGAGTGAGAATCTCCTGTCCACCGGTCACACCCGCCGTGTGCTCGTTGTCCTGGGACCTTATTCACAAAGCATCCGTTAGATAACGGGTCCGTTAACTTTACGGAGACTCTGACGGTTGTGACCGTAAAAAACTAACGTGGTATTCACAAACGTCTCCGTTAACGTTCACTTTACGGGTGCGGTAATAACGGGTCCGTAAAGACAAATTCTATGTATCTGCAACTCTCATTGGTCGAATAAATCGATTGTTTTGTCACAGTGTTGTTTTTCTAAATATATTCTTAAAATGTATAATTGACAAGAAAATTAAAAAAAAACAAAAGTTATTTGTTTCTTATTCATTCCTCCTTTTCTACTATGACGTAAGTTTCCAAGCAACGTGCGTTGACGTCATTTTTTCCAAAATTTGACGTCTTTGGGGTTAGACAACTTAGAAAATGGAAAAAGAAAGAAAAATAAAACCGAGGTTCTTGGACCGAGAAGTCGACGTACTGATAAACAAAGTCAATGAAAAATCGGACGTGCTGTTCTCAAAATTTAGTGACACGATTTCTAACAAGAAAAAGAAATTGGCTTGGACGGAGGTTCAGAACTCGGTCAACGCTTCATCACTTGTCCCAAGAACAGTGGACGAGATTAAGAAAAAATGGGACGACGTGAAGAGAGTAACAAAGAAGCGTGCTGTAGAAGTCAGAAAGGTATCGTAGTCTATCTAAGTATGATATTAGATTTATTGTATCCACACCATGTAAATTTTATAAGCACAAGGCCTAAAATAAAATTAAGTTTGTTTGCAGTTGCCGACCGACCCACTGAAAATGCACCCGACCCAAACTTTTTTTTTAGCCATTTGGTAATTTTATTTTTTTTCTCCAAATTTTCAAATTTTGACACGTTTTTTATCATTCGGTAGTTTATAACAAGAGGTGAGCTTATTCATGTCTAGTAGGTGTATGAAAACGTCTTTTAATTGTTATCTAACAAAAATCTGATTTCCCCCCCCCCAAAAAAAAAGAATGCCTACCTACCGACCCAGTCTAAAAATTATAGGTCGGCAACTGCAAACAAAGAATATTTTAAGCTTGTCCCAGTTCGGATCTGATGATTTTCATTGCATGGCATATTTATTACCACTAGTTAAGTCTCTCTCTCTCTCTCTCTCTCTCTCTCTCTCTCTCTCTTATATAAGTGAGAGGTCATACATGTACATAGGTCTAGGGCCCGTTTTACAAAAGAACTTACGACTAAGACCAAAAACTTCAGATGATTCTTAAATTTTGCAAAGTTAATAATTCTCATTTAAATTGTTTGTACAATAATATCTTACCTCATTCCTTTTAAAGAGTTTAAAATATATATTATATAATGTTAATTAAATTAAAATGTTATATGAATAATTGAATTTGTGTGTATTTTCAGGAAAGTTTTATATCTATATAATGTAACAAAACAAGAAACATACTGACGCAAGCGTCAAAAATCGGCCGCAACCCAATTCATTATTTGATGTTTACGCAGTATTTACAATGTATACATTAAAAGTTTAAAGCTAGAGTTTTTACTTTAATAAAAACACAACATATATGTGGGTTTCCTTGCTCTATCTTGGAGAAAAAAAGTAAAAAAAAAACAAACAAACAAACCCAAAATACAAACTCCCTTTATATCCGCCACTCCATTTCTTCTGTAGCGGGAAAATTCTTGGCACATTGTAAAACACGCCTTATCCTCGTCTGTTAGAAATCTGTCTTTTAATAAATCAACAATTAACCATATTTTCGAACATTCTCCGTAAAAAATGTTTATATAAATTAAACATGTGTACACGTCATAAATACGTACAAGTCCTGTTTAGATAAAAAAAAAAGTATAATTGTTTATAAATTAATAACGCGGTCTTTGCTTTCGACTATGCCCAACACTTGTCCCCAAAGTTTATTAATCAGGATTGGATGAAATATTTACCCTATTGTTTAAAAAAATTCTAGTTCATTGGTTATTATGAGTTTTTGTTAAACATTAACACACTCATTTTAATATATTATTATTTGAATGTTAAATATTTTTTATATTTTATTTTATTTTTTTTTTTGCCTGACGTCACGGCGTCAATCACTACTAAGGATCAATATTTCCACAGGAGTTCGCGTATCTATCAATTTTGCCAAAATTGTCGGTAAATAAAAAAGATACGTAATAGTGTTATTATTATACGTATTACGCATCTTTTTATTTAATGAAAATTTCGGTATAAATCTAAAATGATAGGTACGCGAACTCCAGTGATATTTCCTAGGTGCGAAGCTAAGAGGTCACAGTTAACCAGCAAAATTTTGTGGATGCTAATTATCATCGGATTTCGTTACATGCGTTTCAGCAATAACAGTTAGCAGAAAAATAACCATATTGCTGAATATTTACATTTCCAATGTCTTTGTCCGAGATAAAATTACCAAATGTAAATGTACTTTATTTCTCCATCAATGTATTGACGCGGTTCCAAAAAAAACCACGTGCAGGGAGGGACAAACAGCTAGACAGAAGCAGGGCTTGGAGCACGTGGATTGGCGGAATCAAAGCATGTAAATATAAGGAATAACTGTCTTATTTTTCAATTTCATGAAGATGATCAATCGATTGGCTTGCGTGATAATTTTATGCATAAACGCCTTCGGCGTTTATGCAAATTATCACGCAAGCCAGTCGATTGATCACTTCATGAAATCGAAAAATAAGACAGTTATTCCTTAATACAATACATTGATGTATTTATTTTCTTTAGCTTTTTGCCAGCAGCTATTTATTTCATGCGAGTTCTTATACAGACATGTCCGTTTGACCTTTTTTCTGCGTTTCTAAACTACTGGATTAGTCCATTTGTCTTCTATGTAAGGGGTGACACAATCATTTCGCGCCAAAATGTCACGTGTATAAGTTTGTGCGTCCTTTTCCTGGACTATTCTATTGAAAGGAAATGAAAACTGCATGTTCTTTTTTGGTCGAGCTTTGAAAAAAAAGTAAGAAACAAGAGGCCCAGGGGCCACATCGCTCACCTGACCAAGAAGACCATATCAGATCAGAACTGAAAGTTTACTGAGGGGGGGGGGGGGGGGGGGGTTGGCTTGAATTTAACCCCCCAGGGGGTCATGATTTGAACAAACTAGAATCTACACTACCTGAGGATGATTCCCTATAAATATCACTATAGGCATGGCATTGAAGTACTTGAAAAGAAGATTTTAAAAGGATTCCCTATATATTCCTATGTAAAACTTTTATCGGCCATTTGGCCCCACCCTACCCCCGAGGGTCATGATTTGTACAAACTTGAATCTACACTACCTGAGGATGATTCCACATGAGTTTCATCTTTCCTGGCCCAGTGGTTCTTTCAGAAGAAGATTTTTAAAGATTTTTCCTATATATTCCTATGTAAACTTTGATCGGCCGTTTTGGCCCCACCCTAACCCCGGGGGTCATGATTTGAACAATCTTGAATCTACACTACCTGAGGATGATTCCACATGAGTTTCATCTTTCCTGGCCAAGTGGTTCTTGAGAAGAAGATTTTTTTAAAAACGCCATTAATTTTTCTCTAAATCATAATTATCTCCCCTTGGAAAAGGGCGTGGCCCTTCATTTGAACAAACTTGAATCCCCTTCACCTAAAGATACTTTGTGGCAAGTTTGGTTGAAATTGGCCCAGTGGTTCTTGAGAAGAAGATGAAAATTAATGTGAAAAGTTTACGACGATAACGACGACGACGACATCAACTACAACAACGCCAACAACGACAACGCCAACGACAACAACGACAGACGACGGACAAATTTTGATCAGAAAAGCTCACTTGAGCCTCCGGCTCAGGTGAGCTAAAAAACGAAACGAACAAAAACCTGTTAAGAGGATGCACTGGCCAAACATACATCCTGATCATAACCCCCTCCCCCTCCAGGGAGTTTCCTACTACAAAAACAGAGTATATAGACTTATGAAAGTGTCCTCTCACATTTTAGGATTTAGATGGTTTATTACTTTTTTGCTCGTACAAATATTTTTGATGTGGACCGACCTCTCATCCCTGGGAAAAACATCATGAATCCGCGCCTGCTGTCGCCATTCATATATAGCCGTCAAGTTTGTTGGATCAATACCGTTACGATTCTCAATTTCTTACAAGTATATCATATTTTCAGCTGTCGTCCTAAAAACCTATGCTGTATGCAGTTTGAATCTAATTTATGTAACCTTTAGGCTTTACATATAGCCATGTTTTCCAGCATTAATCATTACATTAGATTTTTCCTTATTTACTTCATCCTCTAAAACCATCTTTAGACTCGCGGAGAGTTTTTCATCTTTATGTCGCGGGTTCGAATCTCTAGCGGGACGTGTACATGATTTAATTTTTTATTTGAGATACAAACAATATCTGCGATTTATATATAAAATGTTTTCTTTTTCCATTGCTCTGATGAGTATCATACAACTTAAAATGAATGCATGCTTTATTCTAGTGAAACAATTTAACACCCCCTCCCCCAATGTAAACGTTTATAACTTATCATGCTTATAGGTTCTTTAAATATTGATGGCATTAGTCAGGCAAGCTATTTGAAAAGCTGTTACTTGTATATTGTTTTATCTCCGCAGAAACGCACGGTGACTTCAAACTTTCATATCAAATAACCGACCGCCTTCCGGCGGCCCTAAATAAAGAAGGTCTTTTTCATTTTAGTTTGAACTTATCAAAAATATGCCTTATATTACGTTAAGCGATTTGTGTATTTAAAGATGTCAGTTTGATAAGTGGCCTAACGTACCCACGAAATGATTAGGAATCCTAATAGATTACTTTATAAAAATACTGCAACATGATCAAAAAAGATGAAAATTTACTACTATAATATAACAAATAAACTGATGGTATAGCAGACATTTTACTTAAATGTTGCACATATCTTCATTTAATGATAAAATCTTTTCCTGTGATAAAGGACCGCACTGTCACTGGAGGGGGACAGAATGAGGCGGATCCTCTTACACCAATAGAGGAAATGGTGGTCTCACTTATTGGTGAAGAAAGAGTATATGGATTGGCGGATGGAATGGATTGTTTTGAGCTCCAGCAACTTCATGAGGTTCGTCTTCATAAGTATTAATGTAACTTGAAGCTGAAGTATGTGCTACATGTATATATTCTGAATAGTCCTCTTGCTTTCAGGATAACCTTCTTTTTATTTTCACTGAAAAGGCATGGCGATAATTTAAAAAATGCTGTAATCTTGATCCTTAACATTCAACATGTTTTATGTAAACATCTCTAAATCGACTTAACTTCTCCATCGCTCCTCGAAACAATAGCAAGTGCTCGAGATGAAAAAAGTTGAATTATCTCTAGATTTGAAAATAATTAAAATTGCAAACCTTACATATAACCCCTGTATAAGATAACAAGCATAAAACCTCAGGAGGAGAGGGCTGCCCCCCCTTATTAAAAAAACACAACTTTTTACTATTGGTAAATGTTTATTAAAAGTCCGCTTGCCTCCTTTTTAGCTCACCTGAGCCGAAGGCTCAAGTGAGCTTTTCTGATCAAAATTTGTCCGTCGTCTGTCGTCGTTGGTGTCGTCGGCGTCGTAAACTTTTCACATTTTTATCTTCTTCTCAAGAACCACTGGGCCAATTTCAACCAAACTTGCCACAAAGTGTCCTTAGGTAAAGGGGATTCAAGTTTGTTCAAATGAAGGGTCACGCCCTCTTCCAAGGGGAGATAATAATGAATTAATGACAAATTAATGGCATTTTTAAAAAATCTTCTTCTCAAGAACCACTGGGCCAGGAAAGATGAAACTCATGTGGAAGCATCCTCAGATAGTGTATATTCAAATTTGTTCAAATCATGACCCCCGCGGGTAGGGTGGGGCCACAATGACCGACCAAAGTTTTACATAGGAGTATATAGGGAAAATCTTTAAAATCTTCTTCTCAAGAACCACTGGGCCAGGAAAGATGAAACTCATGTGGAAGCATCCTCAGATAGTGTATATTCAAATTTGTTCAAATCATGACCCCCGGGGGTAGGGTGGTGCCACAATGGCCGACCAAAGTTTTACATAGGAGTATATAGGGAAAATCTTTAAAAATCTTCTTCTCAAGAACCACTGGGCCAGGAAAGATGAAACTCATGTGGAAGCATCCTCAGATAGTGTAGATTCAAGTTTGTTCAAAGCATGACCCCCGGGGGTAGGGTGGGGCCACAATGGCCGACCAAAGTTTAACATAGGAGTATATAGGGAAAATCTTTAAAAATCTTCTTCTCAAGAACCACTGGACCAGGAAAGATGACACTCATGTGGAAGCATCCTCAGATAGTGTATATTCAAATTTGTTCAAATCATGACCCCCGGGGATAGGGTGGTGCCACAATGGCCGACCAAAGTTTTACATAGGAGTATATAGGGAAAATCTTTAAAAATCTTCTTCTGAAGAACCACTGGGCCAGGAAAGATGAAACTCATGTGGAAGCATCCTCAGATAGTGTAGATTCAAGTTTGTTCAAAGCATGACCCCCGGGGGTAGGGTGGGGCCACAATGGCCGACCAAAGTTTTACATAGGAGTATATAGGGAAAATCTTTAAAAATCTTCTTCTCAAGAACCACTGGGCCAGGAAAGATGAAACTCATGTGGAAGCATCGTCAGATAGAGTAGAGTAAAGTTTGATTAAATCATGACCCTGGGGGGTAGGTTGGGGCCACAATGGCCGACCAAAGTTTTACATAGGAGTATATAGGAAAAAATCTATAAAATATCCTCTTCTCAAGAACCATTGAGACAGGAAAGATGAAACTCATGTGAAATTATCCTCAGGTAGTGTAGATTTAAGTTTATTCAAATCATTACCCCTGGGGGTAGGGTGGGGCAACTCATGTGAAATTATCCTCAGGTAGTGTAGATTTAAGTTTATTCAAATCATGACCCCTGGGGGTAGGGTGGGGCCACAATGGCCGACCAAAGTTTTACATAGGAATATATAAGGAAACCTTTTAAAATCTTCTCTTCAAGTACTTCAAAGCCCTGAAGTGCTCAATATTTATAAAGTTGAATCATCCTCAGGTAGTGAAAATAATTAAAATTGTTCAAATCATATAACCTCTGTATGATTAAAGCATAAAACCTCAAGGAGAGGGCCCCCCCCCCCCTCAGTAAAAAAACTGACAACTTTTTACTCCTAGGTAAATGCTCAGGTGAGCGCTGTGGCCCTTGGGCCTCTTGTTTATGGTAGTATAGTCAAACAAAGGAAAAACAATCTCTAGCTGCCCCCCCTTTTTTGTTCAAAAAAAAACAAAGCTACGTCCCTGGGTAAAAAACACTTCTTTAGATATAGTAGATATAGTTTTACAAATATTGATAGGGATCAGAGGCTGGCGAGGTGGAGAAAGCATTACATCAGGGAGAAATATGTGGTGAGGGTACAAGTAGTAGCCCATTACCAGACACCAGTAAACTGAGTAACGAAACTAGAACAACACCAAACAGATGCAGTAATGTCAAGGGTCGTGTCACAGCTGACAAAGGCGAGAAAGAGAGGTGAGTTTTAACAAATAAATATTTTCTTCAAGCAAATTTTTTCTCATAATGTGACTTTATCGGAAAATATTTTCGAGAGAGAAAGAGAAAAGAGTGGAAGGTGTATCTGAACCACTGCTAGAATGTCCAATCCCTTTATTTTAATCATTCCTCTGTTGCCAAATTTGAATTATTCATAAAATTAGATAAAACATCAATTCATCATACCTATTACGAAATATGTCATTTTTTTAGGTGTGTGTGTGTGTGGGGGGGGGGGGGGGTATTAGGAAGTAGAGCGAACGCTTAAATGAAAAAAAATTGGGAACGGATCCTGTATTTTTCCAGGGACGGAAGGGGTACTAGTAGTTGATCCACATGATAGACTCGGAAATTTAAAAAAGTAATAAACTTGAACAAACATGAATAAATGGGGGAGGGGACTAGACTAGGAGAGGACACTTTCTTTAGTTAATTCCTTAACCCCGGTTTGATAACGGAACTTTGCTTTCTACCTGTCATGTAGGTGAAAGTAAGGTGATTTTTACAATACTTTAAGAAAGTAATTTGATAACTGAAATTAAAAGAGGCACTAACTCCCAATTTCTGGACACGCCTCTAAATCTAATGAAATTAACAGAAAGCTTGCATTAATTTTTTTTTCAGCACACAATCAGAACTTCTGAGTATTGAGAAGGAGCGATTACAGATAGAAAAGCAGAGATTGAAACTCGAGGAAGATAGGTATTTGCTAGAAAAAGAACGCTTGCAGGAACTGAGGAAGATATCCCACATCCTTCAAGACATGGCGAACAAGACTAGTAAAGGCAATTCTCAGACCCAGGAATACATGCCCCAAGATTACAGCTACCTGTATGCCTCATTAACCTAATAAATGACTCAGATTGTAACAACAAAATTAAGAACGTACATGTATTATTTTCATTTTTAGTTGCGTTGATACTTAGAAGTAGTTAAATAAGAATTCTTTCAGATGCATTTAAAATTAGTTTCATTTTCAAACGCAATGCACTTTTTACAAGGTTTATACTAACAATGTAGCATTATTTTGCTGATTAACTAAGCATCGTAAAAATTAAATATGTCTGAGTATAATGTTAACTTCTCCATACATGTACATGTAATATAAACCTCAAAAAACATTATTTGTGCACGGAGGACTTTATTCTGTAAAAAAAACATTTTTTTAAAATCAACCACCCTATACATGTACACAAAACACACACACATAACTGCTTTAAATATATTCTAAGTGACTTCGGGAGATAGGAGGGGGATTGGGTGTAAAATACTAGTACTTAGTATTCCACTTTGACAAGATACATGTATAAGCGCCAATTTTCATTTAGACTCACTTTATTAAATAAATTCAGTAAAATGTTTGCAATTTAAGAGTTAAAGAAACACATAACACTTTAGACAAAGTGTGCTCTGATGAGACTGGCTCTAACAGCTTCACCCTCCACCACGTCCTGTCCTCTGTCTGTAGGGGTGATGTCCTCACTGCCCTCGTCCTCAGCTCCCACCTGATAAACATCAGGTAAAGGTACACCTTTACTCTCGCAAATATTATGCAGGACACCAGTGCTTATAATTGCCTTTACAGCTGTTGTTAATTCAACTGTGATTGCACCACCTATATTTTGAATATAATGATAACAGTATACAATCCGGAGGAAAAAAAATCTCTTTCTGTGCATTATTTACTACAATGTATATTTAATGTGTTGTTTGTCAATGAATTTCCTTTATGAAAAGGACATTTTCTTTCAATATTGTACGTGCTTATTGCACACTTAATTAAAAATTAATGGAAAATCGTGATTTTTAAAATTTGTGTTTTTTTTCTTCTAAATAAGCATTTTGAATTGAGATATTACGAAAGCCTATTAGGATCACTCTAAAGAGAAAAAAAAATCTAAAAGGCGTTATAACGCATTTTGGAAAGGCGTAATAACGCCTTTTTGAATAGAAAGGCGTAATAACGCCTTTTAGAAAGGCGTTATAACGCCTTTTGGAAAGGCGTAATAACGCCTTTTTGAATGGAAAGGCGTAATAACGCCTCTTAGAAAGGCGTTATAACTCCTATATCGCCTTTTCAAAAGGCGTTATAACGCCTTTTAAATTTTTTTTCTCTTTAGAGTGATCCTAATAGGCTTTCGTAGAGATATACTTGTTTTTTTACGCGAAATTTCTTTAAAGAGACACCGTGACGCACAAAGGGGAAATTTGACAAAGTAAACGTAGAATTTTGGCATGACCCTAGTAAACTTTGTTCAATTCCTAAAAGTACTTAGGTTTATTTTTATGGAGAAATAATGTCAGTATGCCCCATAACGAAAATATTTCTTTACTTCTTCCTCCCTCTTGTACGCGTGCGTAGAAAAAGTTGAATAAGTACCATAGTTACCATGGTCTCAAGTACCCAGGAATGAATGAAGGCTAGGAATAGACCAAAACTTTTGATGCAATCATTTTTAAAAGTTGTTCGAACATATTTCTCACCTTTGCATGCTCCAGTTTATTGTTGTTTACAAGTTTCAGCTAAAAATAAAAGTGGTGTGACCTTGACATACGCGAAAACAATGAAACGGTAGATACAACCTCTGTTTTCTGGCACTTATATTGCGCGGTCTTTTCTTGCTTTACGGTGCAGTTTAATTGCCATATTTTAACTATATACTCATAATATTGAAAAGTATTTCTCTGTATGCTACATATATCATAAAGAAACACATGATTTTGACTCATTGTGTTACTTTAAGCACAGGGACTTGCTCCTGGCGTGTAAAAAATATTTATGAAAAAAAAACGATACACTATATTGTTTTTTTTTATAAATATTTTTTACACGCCAGGAGCAAGTCCCTGTGCTTTAAGCGCCCTAAGAATGAGCTCACAAATACGACAGACCCTTAATGTAATTAGTGACTGATCAACCGGACAGCTTCTTCAAATTTCTGTACTAAACATTTTTTTTTATATTTTAAGTAAAATGTAACCTACCAAATTTATGCAGCATAAGCCATCTGCATTTCCATCTGCCAAAAGTATCCTCAATCACCTTCCTTGTTTTTTGATGCTGCCGGTTATAAGCCTCCTCTGCCGGGTTACGGGGATCTCGTAAAGGAGTAAGCAGATATGGTCTCAGAGGATAGGCCTGGCCTGGGGGCCATAAAACTTAGATGAGCTCACTTTTGATCTCAATCTCACTTTTACCAAAAGAATACAGTGAGGATAGGCCTGATCTCCAAGTAAAAATCCAACCTGCGTGTTTCGAGTAAGGAACGTTTGTACACCACACTGACTCCATATGAAGGCATCGTGCGCCGAGCCAGGGAATTTAACGAGCAAATTTGTAAATTTTTTCTGACTGTCGCAAATCCCTTGTACGTTTAGCGCATGGAAACCCTTGCGACATACATACACGTCCTCGCGTGATGGTGGAGCCTTAATTGGAATAAATGACCCGTCCACACATCCGATTACATTTGGAAATCCAAATTTCTCCATAAAACCTTCTTTAACAGTTTGAAGTTTTCGGCAATCCGTCGGGAATTAAATATTTGTCCAGCAAAACTTGCCAGTGCATTAGAAACATTCTTTACTGCTCTGGAAACGCTGGGTTGACTGAGTCCTAAAATGTCCCCAATCACTTGCTGGAAAGAACCAGTCGCATAATACCTCAAAGCAGCAAAAGTTTGTTCTTCAGGTGTAAGGGCATGAGATCTTTTTGTCTCATGTGACACATCCTTTCTTACCATGTCAATGACATCCATCAAACAGTGTCTTGTCATTCGATAGCGGGAAAGAATTTCCGCGTCGTCATACGCATCCAATGGATTTAGCCTATCTCTAAAGATTCTATTCTTCCGAATTTTGTTTTCCTCTAGAATTGCTTGTAATAACGCCATAATAGAAAGAACAATATGACGTACGTTGTACATGTTTAATGACGTCATAATAACCTTTGAGGAACAATAGTTTTTGGCACAACCGAGTGATTATAATTAGTTACTGAGTATCTATATCCTTTCCATTTCTTTTTATTTACTTTTTTAATATAGGATTAAACGTTCTTTTTGAAAAATTTATCGATGTGTAAACTGTTGACACAAACTTAATTTGCACTTTTATGTTAAGTTTGTGAGTAAAATGTCAAGAGTTTACACATCGATAAATTTTTCAAAAAGAACGTTTAATTCTTATAATTCCAATATCGAATTTTTGAAAATATTCAAATTATTTCTCTTTGAGGCCTCCATACAATCCGTTAGTTCTGGACGGCGTAGGGATACATTTTACCGCAAAGGAACGTAATCGAGATGAATTTCGATAGAGTTCAGCTTAATTTGTCAAAACAATCGATAAATAGACTTTAATGTGAACAAATATCGTAATTACGAGTTTACTTCAGAATAGTTCGTCCTTGAATAATGTTGACATAAACGACAACTCTCATAGCGAAAGTTGCAGACCGACGACGCCTTCGATTTGCACTTGTTTGTTCAAAGATTGAAGAACAATATAGAAAGTAAATATGAACATGATGAATTTGATGCTTATAAAGAGTTTGAGGTACGTTTCTTTTCCCTGTCTAAACGATTGAGTTGATTTCTTCGTATTATGAACGTTGAGACAGCGATTTTTAAAATTCACACTCGTGATCGCACAGTGACATTAACATTTTCATGGCGTCCGTCAGCTGGGCAGCCTAGCATGTCGCTAGTTTTGTTTTAATTAATTAAATTTGAAGTTTCTTGTATTTATAATTTATCCAAAACAGACAATGAATAACTGCTTTCGTTGTTTATACGATCAACTACATGTAGAAGCTTAGTCAAAAAAGTAGTTCTGATTGAAAAAAAATTTATCGATGTGTAAAAATTTTCTTAAACGTGTTCTCGTCCAATCAAAACACAGGAATTCAATAGATACAATGAAGATTGGAATTATACTGAGAAACATTACAAATGCATGTACAGTTGAGTTTTTGTACGTGTATCTGAAATATCAAGAATACCATGGATATATTGAAGCAATTTAGAAGTCCAATTAGTTTATTCCTCAAATCCTGGATATATCGAATCTTCGGTTATATCGAAGTATTTCTCTGTTCCACAGAGTTCGAGATAATGAAATTTGACTGTATTTTTATTCTGTTGCTTCATATAATTGCTAATAGCAATTCATTTCTTATCAACCATCATAGGAATAGTCAGTGGATTTATTTTCATCGTTAGACTCATGAATGCAATTGACTAGATTTATTGCTCGAAGAAATTAATGACATATGTTGCTCACACGAAATGAGTGAATGATATCATAATTAAACCGAAGAGAGCAATTCTTTAGAAAAAAATATTAGATGCAATAAATTCATGTAACTTGTTGCTATTTTACAATGTTCGGTGCATTGGTGCAATTTTTGATACATGTTCCATTTTTTTCATTAGAATAAAGAAAGCAGCATTTTCATTTTTACGCATGTCAATTCAACAAATTCATTAATTAGTGAAATCAAGTTTTAAAATAAAGCGTGTCAACATTTTGTATGGAAAATATAATTTTTTTGAAAAGAGTAGATATCTTTGAACAGATTTTTTTGATACATTGCATACTTAATTACACTGTCATGTACTTGAGTTTATGATCTTTTTGACCCTCCATACAACCCGCTCTAAAACGGGATTGGTTGATCATGTTTATGTCATCAATTTCCATTTGTATTCATAATGAATAGATATTACATACATGATGTAAATTGAGTGTGGCTATCCCAGCAAGACAAAGGGAACATTCCCCAGCAAAACAACGCACTTTGATTCTGTCAATTTCGTTTTTATCCCACGGAAAAAGTTAAAGTTTACATTTATTTAGACATGTCAACGTATTTCCGATACATACAAAAAACAATGAATGAAATATTTAGTCAAAACAACAAGTAAAGTGTAAGTAAAACCACTCTAAATGCCAGTCGACAACAAGGTGCCCGTTTACCGGATACTCTAACGTATCCGTTAATTTTCTCCGGTAGCGGAAGAGTTAACGCAAACGTTAACGGATGCGTTAAATAACGGGTGCTTCGAGAATACCAAATAATTTTACGGAAACATTAGCGGTGACGTTAACGGACCCGTTATCTAACGGATGCTTTGCTGACAAGGTCATTGTATCGACCATAGAGTTAACGAAATGATTACTTTTAACGAAACTATTGATATTCTTGTTTCATCAACTTGCTTGTATATAAAATTCACTTCGTTTAAGAAATAGTCCATACGTAGAGCATGCTCTTGCGTAATCAAACAATGCAAAATAAAATTAAAAACCAACAGCAGTATCCTTTCCTACTAATTGAAGTGGATTTTAAAGTTAAAAAAATGCTGAAATTAGTTGGATCTTAAAATTTCATAATCGTACCATGTGAAGTAAAAATCTATAAGGAAAGATGAAGATGAATCTACTTGCAAAATCAAAATGAACATTTCTGTTATAAATTAATTGGACATTTTATATTTTTCGGAATATCCTCAACGCTTTTTAAAGGAAACATATCTGTAGATCCCTAATATTGACGTTAAAATACAAAATATAAACCAATATAAACCAATTAACACATCTCTTTCCAAGTAAAGTTGAGTTAGCACAACTGTTTTTAAATGATGTATATAATCAAAACCCCTGCAAACATCTTGATGAAGGATATGAAGATAACAAACAGTATTCAATCTCAAAGTCCATAAAACAATACAAAATAAGAGCAGAGCAAACACAGACCCCCGAAACATTAGAGGTGGGATCAGATGTCTTCTTCCTTTTTTTTTGCAATGGCTGGATGAATTGAATCGATTTCATGATTTTAACTTAATGTATTCAATGTACACGAATAACGACCATATTTTGTTCCTTAGTGAATGGTACTATATTTGTATCATGATAGCAATTTGACGGTAATATTAGATAAAAAAGCTCTACCAGAAGAACATGCCAAGTTATTGTGCACCCTGTATTTAACATTGAAGTCTATAGGCAGCGCATGTTTTTTAGAGATATTGTACAAAGTAATATGAATTTGAAACAAATCTCTTGGTGAAATATGCATAAACTGTCTCTTTATTAAAATATGAAACATAATCAAAAATTTACCGCAGATACTTTGACAAATCAAAAATTTTCTCTTTTTCATCAAGGTTAGATAAAATTCAAAAACATTTAATGAGAAAACGACCGGCTTCTTACAATTTAGCAGTCTTGAGAATTTGGTTAATTTCACTTTGGCTATATATTTTTAACTTGTTTAGAATCCTTCAAATTAATTATTGTTAAAATCCCTTCATTATGCATTGAATAACTTAACCAACAGAACAAAAAGATCTAACAAAATAACAAAGATTTAAAAGAGTTATGAGTCCCCTAGGAAGTAAGTTTTTATAAACTATCAGATTGTGTGATTTGTAAAGTCTATTGAATATTTGAATTAATACTATAGACTTATTTACATGGTACATAAGGTCTTTAAAAGGGTGTGTGTGAGGATTGATATCTGATTGAATATGTATTGATAAAAATATAACATTAATTGAGTATCACTGGTGTATATTGACTGACCCATTTATTAAATAAGCATAAATCTATTTTTATTATGTACAAAATA